TGTGACCCAAGGCCAGTCATTTAACTGCTCTTTGCCTCAGTTTCCCCAGATGTAAAATGAAGGTAATAATAGCACCTATCTCAAATACATGCACATTGCTCTGCAAACCTTAAAAGCACTGTATAAAAGCATCATAAAATGATATAAAGATGCTTAGATGGTACCTACATCATTTTAGCTGAGGGTTACTGATGAGGCTTTCAATGGGCATTTCTTAATACCAGAGTAGCTGAAGACAGCACCCCAAAGACATAAAGAGTTAGAGTTGGAAGGACATTGGAGAACACTTAATCCAAACCCTTCATTTTCTAGACAAAGAAACGGAGACTGAGTTGAATTAATTCACTCAGGATCACACTTCTTTAGCAGCAGAGGTCAGATTAGAAGCTGATTATGAGGCAGCCTCACCTGCCCCTCCCTGTCACATAAAATTAAAAAACCAATCTTCCTTACCATAGGTATGATTTTCTTAGACAGGCAGCATCTATACTGAAGCTAGAACCACAGGCATAAGTTCGTACGATCCCGTGGAAGGATGACAATTTAATTAACTATTCCATAATATTTTTTGGTTACTACTCTTTCTTCCTTCCCTTATTTCCTTCTATTATAGGGCAGCTACCTGGCAAAATGGCTAGAGTGCTGGGCCTGGAGTCAAAAAGACCTGAGTTCAAATCCGGCCTCAGACATTTAGCTAGCTGTGTGACCCTAGGCAAGTCACTCAACTCTGATTGCCTCAGTTTCCTCATCTGTAAAATGAGCTGGAAAAGGAAATGGCAAACTACTACAGTATCTTTGCCATGATAACCCCAAAAAGGGTCACAGAGAGTCAGACACATCCGAAAAACAACTGAACAATATCAATGTGTTCATTTTTCTCCACAAAAGAATGTAACCTTTTTGAAGGCAGGACCGTCATTTCTGTCTTTTTATTTCTAACATCTAGTAATCGTGACTTGCATATAGTATGTATTTAATAAGTGTTTGTTGCTGTCGTAGCCAGGTCATATGGGTCATTCTCATAGCATGTAAGCTTCTTGAACGCAGGGATTATTAATTTTTTTTAAAGGCAATTGGGGTTAAGTGACTTGCCCAGGGTCACACAGCTAGTAAGTGTCAAGTGTTTGGTCTGAGGCCGGATTTGAACTCAGGTCCTCCTGACTTCAGGGCAGGTGCTCTATCCACTGCGCCACCCAGCTGCCCCGCAGGGATTATTTTATTGTTGTTGTTGTCATATTTTGTATCTGTTGTTTTTGCATCTAGCACATGGCCTGGCACACAGCAAGCACTGAATAAATGCTTGCTGATGGACTCATTCATTCATTCACCCATTCACTCATAACATATGATAGAACTTTCATCACAGCAAGGCTACTCCTGTAAATCAGGCTAGAGTAAGGGAAGGCTTTTTTTTTTTTTTTGGTGAGGCAATTGCGGTAAGTGACTTGCCCAGAGTCACACAGCTAGGAAATATTATGTGTCTGAGGCTGGATTTGAACTCAGGTCCTCCTGACTCCAAGGCCGGTGCTCTATCCACTCTGCCACTTAGCTGCCCCCCTAGGGAAGGCTTTTCTATCTTGAGGCAGTTAGGTAGCTTGAATGGAGTGGACAGAGTGTTGGATTTTGGTATAAGAAGAGCTGAGTTTAAATCTAGCCTCAGACTCTTACTAGCTGTATGACCCTGGGTAGGCCATTTAACCTCTCTTAGGCCTCAATTTCCCATCTGTAAGATGGGGATATTAATACCACCTACCTCACAGGGCTTTGTGAAGATCAAATGGGCTAACATAGTAAAGCAGCTTGTAAACCCTAAAGCACTTTATAAATGCTAGCTATTATTATGATGCAGGGCAGCTAGGTAGCAGAGTAGATAAAGTCCTGTGCTTGGAATCAGGAAGACTTTTCTTCATGAGTTTAAATCCAGTCTTGGACACTTACCAGCTACGTGACCCTGGGCAAGTCACTTAACCCTTTTTGCCTCGTTTCATCTATAAAATGAGCTGCAGAAGGAAATGGCAAATCACTACAGTATCTTTGCTAAGAAAACTCCAAATAGGGTCACAAAGAGCCAGATATGACTGAACAACAACAACAAATTATTATAATTGCCCATCTCAGCCTGCTCTTCCTCCAAACCCCACTTCCCCAAGTGTCTGAACCACAATTGACATGATCACAGATTTAGATCTAAGAGGGACCTCAGAAACCACCCAGTCTAACCCCTTCAGTTTACAGATGAGGTACCGAGGCCCAGAGAGTTAGATGAAATATGATTCGCACAAAGTCATGGAAGTAATAAGTGGTAGGGCCAGGATTTGAACTCAAGTCTTTTGACTATTAATCCATCTGGACGTGTAAAGAGCAAATTGTGCTCTCTACACTACACTCCTCCGTGCCAGTATCCTCTTTATAGCCAGAAGCAAACACTCTTGGTCATGAACAAGCAACAGCACCACTAACAGATCACGCTGTGTTTGCATTTGTCTTTAAAAATCAAAGCCTCCTCCGATTAAATGCCATCACAGCCCTGCACCAGTTAGGATCCAGAGAGACTGATGGGCTTTGGGAGCAGCTTTAATGATGATCCTGCAGACCAGGCATTAAGTAAATGTCACCAACCTGTTCGGAAAAGGAGGGAGGGCCTGGGGATCCTTCCCATTTCTGAGACAAGAGAGGCTCAGCCCACCTTTGAGGCGCCTGAGAAAAAGCGGAGCTTAGCCAAAGCTCCCTTCCTTGCCCCCCACCAAAGCTAGGGATTACTTATACAGGGTGGCAAAGGAGTGAGCGGATGTGTCTGAGCGCACGTGAAACTGTCCGTGTGTCTGTTTGGATGGATGTACGTCTGTGTGCTCGGCCTACCCGGGACATCCCAGGAGGGATACCAAAGAACTGTGGGTCAGAGTGCTCATGGAAATAAGCTTGTCAGGACACGCAGGACATACTCCTCTCCCTCTTTCCACAGCACTGTAACATCTCCCTGCTCCCAAAGGGTTGGTCCCTTGTTCAGGTCTCAAATGGGGAGGATTTGGGAGACTGGGCCCTGATTCATTTTAGAAAGCTTTTCCCTGAGGTCACAGAAGGGATTCCTTCCTAGATTGTGCTTGCATTATAAGACCTTTGAGGGCTTTTCCAACTCTAAGATAGGGTGATTCTGTAACCTCTGGCCTAAGATTTCTGCTATCAGGCCCCCTCACTCTTCATTCTTCTCCCACTGAAGACAAGGTCCAGAATACCTCCCCACACATGTTGGGGGGAAGGGCACACTGCTAAGCGGGGAGGGGTCACAGTGGGCACCAGCTATTCCTGGCACTTATCCCACTCCTCCTCTATAGTTCTGGTCAGTCAGTCAGTCAGTCAGTCAACAAACATTTATTAAGTGCTTACTTTGTGCCAGGCACTGTGCAAAAGGGCTGGGGATCAAAAGAAAGTCAAAAACATGGTTCCTCCCTGCAAAGAGACAACGTTGGATATACAGACTATAAACAGAAGATAATCTTAGAGAAAAAGCAATAACAGGAGGAGGAGGAGGAGGGTAGACCTGAAAAGTATAGAGAAGGCAGGTTATGAGCTCAGTCCTGAAAGAAGCTAGGGAAACTAAGAGGGAGGGCAACCCAGGTAGGGGGCACAGGCAGTGCAAGGGCACGGAGATGGGAGATGACGTATAGTGTATGAGGAACAGCAGCAAGGCTAGTACTGTTGACCGTAGAGTGTGTGGAGGGAAGTAAAATGCAGGAAACGTGGAAAAGCAAGAAGGGGCCAGGTTGTGAAGGGCTATTGTTGGGATGATGCTCTAACTTCTCAGGTTCCATCAGGAAGGCTGCCTAATGAATTCCATTCAATAGTTATGTAAGTGCATTCACTATGCTGGAGTAGCTTTTGCCATTCCATATACAAAACTTCTGCTGTTATTTAGTTGTTTCAGTCGTGTCCAACTGTTGGTGACCCCATTTGGGGTTTTCTTGACAAAGATGCTGGAGGGGTTTGCCATTTCCTTCTCCAGCTCATTTTATAGATGAGGAAACTGAGGCAAAGAGGTTAAGTGACTTGCCCAGGGTCACGCAGCTAGTAAGTATTTGAGGTCATATTTGAACTCAGGTGTTCTTGACTCCAGACCCGGAGCTCTAACCACTGTGCCACATAGCTTCCCCAAGGACACAAAAGTACAGGGACATAAAAACTAGATCCTATGCAACGGTCTCTAGTAATAAAGTGGCTAGCCTGGCTGGGCAAATAACCTTGGATAGAGAAGGAAAGACTGGACTAGATGGGCCCATGGATCTCAAACCCTTTACCCAAACTCCCAAGAACCAGGTTTTAGAGGCGACAGCTCCAAGCTGACAATGACAAGGATGCCAGAGGAGACCCCCAGCCCTGCTTTATGTGATTAATGTCCCAAGGCATCCACAGAAGCTTAGTTAACCTAACTTCCTCAACCCCAGCAGAAACCTCTCAAACCCATGGTTCCTTTTTTTCACCTGGTGCCTCAGAAGCTCTGCTGTGGAGGCGAGGAAAGAAGACAGACTGTTTCTGGACTCCAGAGAAGAACAGATGGGCAGACTCCAATTGATTTCATGCCATTGCTCTCTGGTAGCTAGTCAGCTCTGTGGCTCATCAACAGCAAGTGAAGAGAGATCAATGCCCACCTTTCAGAAGGAAAAGGAAGCAGGGGCAGGACACTGGGCAAGAAAGGCTTTAGTGATTGCAATGTTCTTATTTTTGGAGGGACAGAGAGAAAGCCTCTGTGTAGGGCCCCTCTGCCCTGGGGGGCTGCAAAGGCCCCCATGTGAAATGTGAAATAAATCACATTTTCCAATTTGACCTCAGAATCCCAAAGTGGGTCCTGTAGCTTGATGCACCCATCATGTTCATTCTTCAGGCAACAGTTCAGTGACGTAACACAGAAGAGTCTCCAGCTGTGACTCTGTGGTATGGCTCTAAATTGGGCACCCCATGGCCAAAACAAAACCCTTGCCTTCTCCCATCCAACATGTTCTTCTTACCTCATTGACATCAATCTGATTCTTCTCCATGTAAGCCTTATCGTTGACCTGTCCACCTTCTACAAACTCCATCAGAAGGACTCGTCGAGTTGACAGCTCCCAGTAAATGCGAGGGACCTAAAACAGTACAGAGAATGGTCAGGGCAGTCCTTGGGAACAAAGGAAGGGAATCCTAAGAGGAGATTCCAATGGGGCATAGCAAGCAAAAAATGGAAGGCCTCTCTCTATGGCTAGGAGACAATATTGAGCCGGCAAAGGAAGAAAATACAACATCACCGGTGGGGAAAAAGACACAAAGAAACTAGGTCATGGTGAAAGAGTATTCTTTTAACTGTCTTCCCCTTTAGCTTGACCCCATATTCCTATTGAGATAGCTCCTTTTCAGTACTAGAAAAGGAAGATCCACCATACCCACTGGTAACTATTACTGTGGAACATAACCTAGGATTGGAAACTTGGAATTCCCATCTTTTAGATTTATCACACTAAGGAGTGGGGCAGCTACGGAGTGCAGCGGATAGAGCACCATGCCTGGAGTCAGGAAGACCTGAGTTCAAATTCCACCTCAAACACTTACTGGCTATATGACCTTGGACAAGTCACTTCACCCTGTTTGCCTCAGTTTCCTCATCTGTAAAATGAGCTGGAGAAGGAAATAGCCAACCACTCCAATATCTTTGCCAAGAAAATATCAAATGGAGTCCAAAGAGTTGGACATGACTAAACAATACCAACACCACCAAGTGACCTCAGACACACTGCCTAATATTTCTGCCTCAGTTTCTCCACCTATACAATGGAACTACTAAAAAAAAAAGACTTTCCCATGGGGTTTCAATGGAAATGTTGTTTAAGGGATGAAAGACTCTGCAAGGGAGCCAGATATTGATTTTAACACTCCCAAGGAATAAGTTCCCTAGATAAGCTTCTCAGCACTTAGACCCTACCAAGGGTTCCCAGCTTCCCAGTCTTCCACTCCCCCCCGCCCCAAGATTCTAAGGACAGTAAAATACCAAGAACGGAACTGATATTTCACAGCTAGTCCAACCACAGATTTCCCCTGAACTTAGCAAGAAGCTGAATTTCATCAAGGCCCATGGTTAGCACTGCAAATCCTTATGTAAATATACCTACGCAAACACAGAATTGTAGCTTCTAAGCTGGAAGGGAACTAAGAGATCATCTACATTCTAAATTTTGCCAATGAGGATTTGGAGATTCAGAGAGGTTAAAGGTCAACCAGCTAGAAACCGTCAGAAGTAGGCTTTAAACTTAGACTTCAAGCCCAAGATTCTATCCACTAAGCCACACTGAAGGCTTCAAAGCTCCATTAGACCTGTGACCTCATGGATGTGAGTGTTCCCTCCAAGTGTACAAACTGCAACACATTCATTCCTTCTTATCACGTATGATTCTTATCCATGTTGTTCCAAAGATACCCCATTGAGGATCTGTCCAATATGCCGAAGACCTTCTTTTAGGCCTCTTTACATTTCAAGAGTACCACTGGAATACTTAGGCTATCTACGTGTTATATTTTGAGCCAATGACCAGTTCACTTTCCCTTCAGATTGTATCTTTTTTCAATGATATTCCTTATACCACTTCCTGAGCATAGGCATTGGAAATATGCCACGGTTTACTTGAATATAACATGTGTCTCTCTATTGCTTTCTGGGTCACCCACAAATTTAATTTCTCATAGGTTGTGATGGTCTAAGATTTGCAACCAAAGCATATCACTGGGAGAATATTTGTATTGATAAGAGGAGGAAGAGGAGGTCTTTGCACCTGGAAGTACTTTATAATTGTTAAAAGTGCTGCACAATTTCCCAAATGCAATGCAACCTACTTTCATCTTCCTAATTCAATTATGGGCTCAACCTATTTCCATCTGCAGTGTCTGTCCAACTGATGTGTTAATGCTCTAACTCAATGGCATGGTTATTCAATTGTATGTCACAGTCTGGACAAAAAGCATTTCTCATTCACTTAGGGTATTTTTTTTCCTGCAAGGACTGTTTACACCAAACTCTTTTAAATAATCATGGCTCTCATTGAAGAGACTTTTATTATTTAGGGCAGTTTGATGAAACAAACACACTATAAATAGGAACATTTAGAGGATCTCATCAACTGGAAAGAATCCTTCCTTCCATTTGGACACTGAAAGTCATTTGAAATTAACAATCGGGGAGCAGGTAGGTGGCGCAGTGGATAGAACACTGGCCCTGAATTCAGGAGTACCTGAGTTCAAATCCGGCCTCAGGCCCCTGGGCAAGTCACTTAACCCCATTGCCTAGCAAAAAAAAAAATTAATTAACAATCAGAAGGTCATTGACCAGTGTTGTTGATATGACTGTGTTTGGGAAAAAAATCCTGTAGGACCCTGACATAAGGGTTTGAAAAATGACTGCCATTCTGAGATTTGTAGTTCACAGGGTCATCTCTTCCCCATAGCCCTGAGTTAAAATTTGGACTACTGAGATCTTTGAGCTGGAAGAATGATTTTAGTGACAATCTTCAAGAGAGCAGAGTGGGCAGAAGGGGCAATATGAACAGAACAAGAGAAGAAGCTGTGGCGGAGGTGGCATCCTTACCTCTGACTTGGGAAATGATCAGGTGGAAGAAGTGATAGACACAGTGTGACATTTTAAAAAGTTCAAGAGACATAATTTCTGGGTAATTAACCATTTTACCAATAAAAGGAATGGCCATTAGGCCATTTCTCTCTTGGACGAAGATCATCATGGCAGCAGTCTCACAGCTTATATGCCCTTGTAAAGTGGGTATTCCAGGGGGTGGCAATCAACTCTGATTGGTTACCAATTAATGTAAAACTGGGTGTTCCAGAGGGTGGCAATCAACTCTAATTGGTTACCAATTAATGATAGGTGAACTTTACAAAAAGAAGTGGACTCACTCTAATGAGGGGCTGGGAGAGGGACATCATGTCACTCTTGAGCAGAACACCCAGACCACCCACAGCCTTAGGCAACCTAGACACAGGATCTACCTCTGTTCAAATTAGCTAGAGTGGAACACAATGGACAGGAATTCATTTTAGATTAGAAGTCTGATCTAGTTGAGCAGAATAGCAATACCCAGAACCTTAATCCTATCTTCCATCAGCCCTGTCCTTCTGAGAGACTGGGCTTCAGAGAAGGAAATAGGACGGGGGAAAAAGCTTGGGTCTCCCCAATTTTGATAACCGGCTATTAATGAGAGAAAAAGAATCACTTCTCTCAATAGAGAGACAGATAAAGGACAGTTGAGGTATGAAAGAGACAGAAAAGATCACAGTGGATTATTAGGTCCCTGCTGGCATCTTGGAACAAAGAACTGAGATTGAAATTTCCAGTTATACTCACCTCTTTAAAGACTGAAGCATATTCCTAAACTTCTACTATTTCTGCAACCTCTTCCCACTGTATCTATACAATAACAGATGCTGTCATATATTCTTTTCTTATTTCTTTTTACCTAAGATGTTAACTCTTCCCTGATTTTGCTCCATACAAATACCCATGATTAGCCAAGAAGGTTTATTTTGCATGTCTATAGAGTGAGGGTATGCTGAGAAAAGGGGAGTGGAGGAAACCAGAGGCTAGCTAAAAATACACAAAATTTAAATTGGGACAGAAAACTAAACCTCTTTATAAATGTTAGGAACTTTCTTAATTGGAGACTCTGGGCTATTATGATTTTGTCTGATTTTGCTGCTGAGTTGTTTCAGTCATGTTCAACTCTCCATGGCCCCAATTGGAGTCGTTGTGGCAAAGACACTACAGTGGTTTGCCATTTCCTTCTAAAGCTCATTTTCCAGATGAGGAACTGAGTCAAACAGGGTTAAGAGACTAGGCCAGGGTCACACAGCTAGTAAGTGTGTGAGGCTGAATTTGAACTCAGGTCTTCCTGACTCCAGGGACAGGGGGCTTCACTGTGCCACCTAGCTGTCCTTTGTCAGACAGAAACTCCATAATATAGCAGAGCAAGAGACCAAAGGGACTTGAGGGCCATTATATTGCTCCTGGGTTAAAAGTGAGGTAATTGTTGTAACAAGGTACGGCAGATTAAATCTCCAGCCCTGAAATGAGAAAAAAGGTAGGCAGAGTGGAAAGAGTGGTACCCAAAGAGAAAGTCATATCCTAAACTGGCTTTTCCAGAATAGACAAGGGGGTAGAAACTAGAAATACCACTGGCTCCTTCCACAACAAGAAAATAGGTTTTGTTTTCAAACTTTTCCTTTTCATTCGTTTGGGTGAAAACTTCTCCAACTATTAAGGAGTCAGTGTGGTATAATGGAAAGCCTGCTGTCTTTGGAGTAAGAGGTCTGGGGTCTGGTGTCAATATCTTTAATTCTACTACAGCCATCCCTTTCACAACACAACTTTCCCCATCTCAGTTTTGATATCGTAGGCTGGCATAAGAAATTAAATAGGAATTTTGGGGGAGTCTTATGGTAGCCACTGGTGACATGCAAAGGCCAGCAGATGATGCAAGAAAAGTTTAGAAACTCAAAAATGCACAAAATATGTGTATAGCATTATATAACATCAACATATTTTATCTTTTAATACCATAATAATTCAGACTTCTTCTCTGGTACGAAGGGAGGGCCAAAAAATTTTACATGGATTTTCCAGATCACAGGGGTACCATGCCCTTAATCCTCGAGATATGGAAGGTATAACTGTACTTACTCCCTATGTGACCTCAGATAAGTCCCTTAACCTCTCTAGGCCTCATTCCCATTTGTAAAATGAGGGGGTGTACAAAATGACTTCTAAAGTCCTTGCTAGATCTAAACCTACACTGGAAATCTATATCTGAGATCCTGATACTTCATTCTTTTTATTTTTTTGGCTAGGCAATGGGGTTAAGTGACTTGCCCAGAGTCACACAGCTAGTAAGTGTTATGTCTCTGAGGCCAGATTTGAACTCAGGCCCTCCTGAATCCGGGTTGGTGCTCTATCCACTGCGCCACCTAGCTGCCCCAATCCTGACACTTTGGAAAGAGAAAATTAAAACCCTAGAACTAAACTTCAAGTGGGTAGCCAGCAAACAGAAGATGCCAGATAAATAGCACTGAGCATAAAGAGAAAATGAGAGATTTG